GTCGCTAATAATATGCCCTTATTCGTCTAGATAAGGACATGCCTCTGAAAGGCACGGACGTGCCTTAATTCACTCATCCATACACGGGCGTGCCAGCATGAGGCACGTCCGTGTCTCACTGCTGCACGCATAGCTCGTCTTAAACTGGTCATAACTTGAGATCCAGAGCTTTGTTTGAGGCTTGTAATATATAGTTGGAATTCTCTTGAAGTCTACTTTCCAATTCAATCAGAAACACTTCATTATCATTTGTACATCAAAAGTTATGTTCAAAATAGTGGACGAGACTCATGTTTGTCAAGTCTTTCATCAACGCTTTGCTTCATTCTATCCCAATTTTGCCTCGAAACATGAGTTGAGATCCTTGAGCAAGATAGCTTCATACTCCATTATTATTATACTAAAGATTAGCCAATCATAATCCATTTTCATCTAAATCACCTGAAATTCATCAAAACGCACCAACGGAGAGTACTAGAGCATAACTTAAGCAAATAATGTAAATATACACCTTAGACCTCTAAATCTATAAGCAATTGAGAGTAGATATGCACCTAAAGTGTGTACAAATTAGGACTTATCAACTGAACTTTACTTCTATTGTGTAATTTTGTTGATTAAGCATATGTCATAAAAAACAATATTGTACTTCATCCATAGATTGTCTCTATACTATATGATTGCCATCTTAAAAAGTCGGGTTTGGGCAAATTTTTTGAACTTGAATTTTAGGCCTAGCCTTAATTTTTTTTTTTTTGGGTTTTAGGCAGTCACAAATATCATTTTCATTTAAAATTTGGTCCACCCGATTAAAGGCTGAAAAGACAGCTATTTTTGGCCTAGAATAGCAGGTATGGGCATAGTTTTTTGGCCCAAAAAAAGCCAAGTTTTTTTTGCCAAAGTCCAGCCTAGCGCGTAATCACCTATATGAAGAAGTATTGATTGAATACCTATTTTAAGAGTGTCATGGGTGATTTGAGCTCCAATTCTTCCTTTTTAAGAGTGATTGAGCATATTATTTATCACTTAGGCCCTTTTTAAAAAAACTTATTTTCAATTTATTTATATTGAGTTCAAATCAATTTGTTATTATTATTGTAGTAGTTGTAAATTGTTATTTAATAATATGAATTCAGTGATATCTAGTTTAGTTTAGCTCAAGGGAATAGGACCTTAGTTTCATTAGATCATCTACATCCATACCATACTAGAATAAATGAGTCTTTATTTATTCCCATAATGTTATTAGATGGCCAAGATCATGTTACATTTCTTTATCCTAAGCTAGATCTTAAAATTTCCTCACAAAGGCTAAAGAAAGAATTTTCCGTAAATAACCTATTCATCAAAAATAGAGTTTGCTTTTTATATTACAAATACAATTAACCGCAAAACATATAAGTAAAATATTTCAATTGATGTTTAAATAAATGATGAGAGTAATTCACTACCCAATTGGTTATAGATTTTCTCCCGATTTCTAGGGATTCTCATTATTACATGTCCTTGTAACTCTTTACACACTACAGTAAAAAAAAATGTTCAAGTTGAATTATTAAACTCCTTTAGATTTAGAAAAATGATACAAAATTACCTTTTTCTAGTGTTGCATCATCTCTTTTAACTTAATACTAGGTGTTTAGGAAAATCTTAGTAGGGTAGGTCGAGGAATTTTCTTAAGGTTTTAGGGGTGATAACAATCAATCTTGCAATATCAATCACAATATCCAGGAGCAATCATATAATAAAGAACGAGTGAATTAACTAAAGGAATAAGAGTTAGAAAGGCAATATTGAGTAAGGATAGGATCCTTGATCAGAATAGACACATAATTCGTAAGTAACTTGCATATATTTTGAGTATTAATGTATGAATGCGCGTATGAGGCTATTACATGTGTTCTCCACTATTTATACCTAGGGTATGCTAGGGTTTACAAGTATTTTTGGCATACATTCAAAAGAGAAAGATCTTTGTTATTTATTCTTCTTTCCTTGCGTGCCTTGTGTATTTTTGTTATGCCTTCCCAGCTGATTAACTAATTGATCTTCTAGCCATACTTGTGCCAATCACACCGTTTTAAATTGATCTCCTTTTGTTTGGCTTGTTCTTGGATCTTCTGGAGTGCCCTATGTCTTTTGGGCTCTTTGGGAGTATGGGCCCAACTATTGCCCCTAATTATGTTTAAGCATCTTGAAGATAGAAATTACCAAAAAGAGCCAATGAAATATGTTTTAAAATTGGAAGTTTTCCAACAGTAACAAATTTAAGAGTGGGGAATGGTTTAAGGCAAGTGCCTTGAGAATTGCAACTAGGGGTTTGCTTTTTTGGGGTATTTATTAAATGTGCAGGCTTCAATCAAATCACTTGACTCTTCTTTGTCGCTAGTTTGAATTTTTTCTTAGGTAATTCTCTCTCTTCCTCTACTTTCTCTGTTTTTTTCAATTTTCTTGCTTGTTGCTGTTTTGCGATGGGGAATATGGTGAAAGTAGTGTTCGCTGGTGCTGAGGAATGCGTGAAAAAACCTATCTTCACTGCTCAGAATGTTTTCCCTGTTAAGGATGTCTATCCTTCGCATTTGACAAAGGATGATGTAAAGCAAATTGCTACTTCTGCATGGTTTCCTGATGGAGTTGTGGTCAAAATCCCATCTTCTAGGAGAGGGCAGACTGGACTACCCTTGGTTGGGTGTAATTCTTTGAGTACCCTTTTGTGATTGGGCACACCTTCCTTTTGTTCGTCAATTTCTCTCCAAAGTTAGGGTTTTGCCTTGCCAACTGTTGCCCCAAACTTGGAGAATTTTACGAATTCTCGATTTGTTGAGTGATAAGTTGGGTATTTCGTTGGATGTGAGGGATCATTGCTACCCTTACACTATCAGGACCAGTGGTAAAGGTTGGGTTACTCTTCGATTGAAGGATATGGTTGATCCTTTGGTGACAGATTTGGAGAAGGCTTTTGATAAGAAGTGGTATCACAAATTTTTCTTTGTGAGGGTTGATTCTTTTAGCGAGGAAACTTCTTTTCTGATTGATACTGTTGAGGCTGAAGGTATTTTGTTTTCTGAATTTTGTGTGAGTTTTTTTTCTGTTGATTTGGGCTTATTTATGTTGTAATTGCAGTGAGTAAGTTGAAGCAACGTGCTGAGTCTCAGTCTTTGATTGATTGCTTGTATGAGTTGAGTGCTGAAGAGAGATCTTTCATCAAGTTGACGCAGCCTGAAGTAGTTGTCCATATTGAGGATCTGGACGAGAAGAATCTGACAAAGAAGTTGCCCCTGTCATGTCTCAAGGTATGTTTTGTCTTTCGCATTTGTTAAGGCCTTTTTGTTTTTGTTGGGATGTGCGTTTTTGTGTAACATTGTTGTTATGTTTGGGAAGGATTGTTTGGCCTGTCCTTTGTGTGCTGGTTATCCTGTTGTATTCTGAATGGCTTGTTGCATACTAGTTGCCTTGTTGCATTCTGGATGTCTTGTTATGTTTTGAATTATCTTGTTGTGTCTTTAATGCCCTACTACGTTTGCTGAATATTTGTGTAACTTGTAGACACTACTAGGTCACTAAGGTCATATGCTGCACTTAGCTCTTCCTCTATTTTGGAGCATATTAGGTAGAAAGCTTCGAAAATTGGGGAGGATGTTTCTAAGAAGAGTCCTGCACTCAAAAAGGCTCCAATTCCTCCTCCTCCTCGTGTGTCAAGTGTCAAAAGGAAGTTGGAGGTTCCTGCTGATCTTGAAGCTAAGGGCTTTTCTTATGATGCTCTGGCTCCTTATGCGGATAATTTGTTGTTCCCCTCCTTCAGGGACCGCTAATCCTTGCAGACTTTTGCGGACCTTTCTCAGGAGGCTGCTTTGAACTCCTTCCAAGTATGGTATACGCCCAAAAAATTTCTTTCAAAAATGAACAGCTTCTATATAATCTTTACTGATGTAATTGTGTTCTGCAACGTTTCCAGTCTTGCTTGGGGGTGCTAGGAAACGTGTCATAATTCACTAAGCCTTCGACGTCATGAAGAAGGAACGGGATTCTTTGTCAGACAGGCTCAAGGCAACGTTTGACGCTTTGAAGGGGTAACGAGCTAAGCATAAGGACTTTCGTGCTGAGTTTAATCAGTTGAAGGGTACCTTGAAGGATGCTGCAAATGAATCTCTTGATGTGGCTAGCTACTATTTGGGCAAGGCTCGGTTGGATATCATAGAGGAATACCAGCAGGGAAAGCATGAGGCTTGGGATTATGATGATGAGAAGGCTGCTTTTAAGAAGTCTTTCCTTGGTAAAAACTGCTGCTCCAGGCTCGCTTCTGCTGAGTTACGCTGATGAAGAGGTGAATTCCCCAGTGAACGAAGATGTCAAAGCTGCCCATGAGGAAGAGAAGGTCCTTGCTGACAAGATAGGAGAAAATTAGTCTTCCAGTGCTGTTTCCTTAGTATTTTCTGAACAATTTGGTTTTTTAACTTGAAGTATTTGTAATATTGCTTCCTAAGTGTAGTTGGATGTTTTTTCTTTTTGCTTTTTGTTGCCTTGTGCAACTAAGTAATTTTATGCTTTCATGTTTGTCATTCTTGTTGTTTGTGTTGTTTTCATTGTATCCCAGTTGTATTACAGTTGTATTGCAAATGGGATGTAGTATTGCTTACATGTCCTTTATGTTGAAGTTTGTGAATTATGTGCTTCTTGTTCTACAGGGAGATTCTTATGCATCATTGTTTTTTGCTCTGTAATAATGTCCTTGCAAAACAGGAAAAAGTCAGGAGTGGCCGTGGGTTTCCCCAACGGCCCTCCGATGCTTAAGTCAGTACTCGTAGTTCAAATAAATGAAATTGACTAAGTATTGGGATAAAAGAATGTACCTTTCTTGTGCTGGGGTTGGGGTTACTTCCTGGATAGGTTTTCTTTCTGAGGAGTGTTTGCTTAGAGATACAAAAGGAGAGATTTTACACCTTTCTCGAGTCTTGGTTGTTTGTAGTTAGGTTTTTGCATACCTTAGAAAGGGTAGAGCTTCAAATGTGTTGCATTCCAGCTTCGTTGGACTTAGCTTCTTTCCCTTCTACATTCCTTAATCTGTACGCTCTATTGCCTACTACCTTTGTGATCTCGTATGGTCCTTCCCAGTTAGGTGCTAATTTTCCAGTGTTTACTTCTCTTGTGTTTTCGTATACCTTTCTAAGGGCCCAATCTCCTACCTTGAAGATCTTGACTCTTACATTCTTGTTAAAAATTCTTGCAACTTCTTGCTGATAGGCTTCCATTCTCATCTTGGCGTCGTCTCTGATTTCTTTAACAGTGTCTAGGTTGTATGCTAGCTCAGATTGATTTCTATCTTTTGTCATTAGTCCGTACCTTGCAGTTGGGACTTCCACTTCCATAGGGATCACTGCCTCACACTCGTACACTAGTGAAAATGGAGTATGGTCTGTCGCACCTTTTGGTGTTGTCCTATCTGCCCAAAGTATGCTGGGTAGTTCATCTGCCCATTTTCCTTTTGCACCTTCTAATCTTTTCTTTATGTTGATAAGAACTTTGTTGCTTGACTCTGCTTGTGCGTTTGCTTGAGGATACCTTGGTGTGGATGTAATGAGCGATATGTTCCATTCCTTGCAGAATTTTATGGTCTTTTTGCTAATGAACTAGGACCCGTTGTCTGTAATGATTTCTGTGGTACGCCAAATCTGCACAGTATGTTCCTTTTGATGAATGAATGACGTGTTTATCTTTGATATGATGTCCTTGTATGCCTCGAATTCCATCCATTTGGATAAGTAATCTGTCATTGCTAGAAAATACACTCTTTGCCCTGATGAAGGAGGTAACTTGACTATATCTATTCCCCATTTCATAAATGGCCAAGGTGTTAATGTTGGATGTAGCTCTTCAGATTGTTGATGAGTCAGTGGTGCATGTTTATTACATGCTAGAAATTTCTTAATGAACTCTGCTACATCCTGGGCCAGTAATACCCCCATTCTGAGGGCCTTGTTGGCTAAGTTTCTTCCTCCAAAATGATTTCCGCACTCCCCACTATGTAATGATTGCAGGACTTGTTGTACTTCTTGTTTCTCTAAACACCTCAAGTATGGACTAGCTGCTGACTTCTTGAAGAGTACGTTGCTAATTAGACAGTATTTGGATGCTTTCATGACGAATGCATGCGCAACCACTTTCCCTTTCGGTGCTACTTTGTTAGTGAGAAAGTCTTTGAAAGGTTTTGTCCAGCTGTCTTCTTCATCAGTAGGGTTTTCTTGTACTTCGTAGACATTCATGGTTGATTCCTTCTCTATGGATGGATACATAACATGTACTAATGGTGTAGCTCCGAACTCATCAGGATTGATGTTGGATCCAAGGTTGGCTAGTGCATCTACTTTAGTGTTTAAGTTTCTAGGCACTTGTGCAATTTTGAACTTGAATTCCTTTATGAGGTTTCTTACTACCTCTAGGTATGCAACCATCTTGGCATCTTTTGCTGCATACTCACCATTAATTTGGTTTACAATTAGTAAGGAGTCAGAGATTACCTCTTGGTGCTTTATCCTCATATCTTTGGCAATGGTCAGCCTTGTGATTAATGCCTCGTACTCTGCCTTGTTGTTTGGTTGCTTTGAAATTTCACCTTACTGCTTAGGCAATTTTTTCTCCTTGAGGGGATGTTAACACTATTCACAAGCCTACACCTCGTATATTTGCTGCACCATCTGTGTGGAATCTCCATTTTTGCGCGGGTTTGGGTTCCTGGAGGGACAACGCTTCTTTCTGTGCTTCTTGCTCAAGTGCTGGACTGAAATCTGCCACGAAGTTTGCCAAGGCCTATGCTTTGATTGCAATTCTGGGTTCATATTGAATATCATAATTACTAATATAGATCATCCATTTCTCCATCCTTCCTGACATTTCTGGTTTTCTCATGATAGCCTTAATAGGGTAATTAGTACGCACACATATAACATGACTTTCAAAGTATGGGCGTAACTTAATTGAAGCAGTGACTAAGGCTAAAATGATTTTTTCTAAGGAAGCGTACCTGGTTTCCGCACTGAGTAAGGTTTACTTACGTAATAGATTGGAAACTGCTCCTTATCTTCTTCTCTAGTGAGGACTGCACTGATCGTCCCTTCTACTACTGCTAAGTAATGTTGGAGTGGCTCTCCTTCTTTTGGTTTGGAAAGTATCAAAGGGTTTGCTAAGTATTCCTTCATCTTCCTCATGCTTCCTCATGCTCTTGCTCCCATTTGAATTCTTTGTTCTTCTTTAGCACGTCGTAGAAGACTTTGTTCTTGTCTGATGACTTGGAGATGAACCTGTTCAGTGCTGCTATTCTTCCTATAAGGCTTTGTATATCCTTCTTGGACTTTGGTCGTTCTAAGTCGAGTATGGCCTTGACTTGATCTGGACTGGCTTCTATTCCTCAATGTGTTACCATGTAGCCTAAGAATTTTCCTGACTGTACTCCAAACGTGCATTTGGTGGGGTTCAACTTCATGCCATACTGTTTTATGATGGAGAAAGTCTTTGAGGTCCTTAATATGATCTGTTACTTTCTTGAACTTCACTACCATATCATCTATGTATACTTCCATTGTGTTTCCGATTTGTTTTTCGAACATCTTGTTGACTAGTCTCTAGTATGTTGCTCCAGCATTCTTTAGTTCGAAAGGCATTACCTTGTAGCAATATATTCCTTGGCTGGTTATGAAGGTTGTATTTTCTTGGTCATCTTTGTGCATGAGAATCTAATTGTACTCATTGTATGCATCCACATAGGAGAGTAGTTCGTGTCCAACTGTAGCATCCACCATGGCGTCGATGTGAGGTAGTGGGAACGGATCCTTTGGGCAGGCGTTATTGATGTCTGTGAAATCGATGCATATTCTCCATTTCCCATTTTTCTTTCTAACCACCACTACGTTGGCTGACCAGTCTGGATACTTAACCTCTCTGATTTTTCTGTTTTTGAGCAGATTCAGAACTTCTTCGTTAATCACTTTGTTCCTTTCTGGTGCAAATTTCATTCTCTTTTGCTTTACTGGTACATGTTTCGGGCCCACGTTCAGCTTGTGTACAATTACCTCTGCGGGGATTCCCTTCATGTCTTTGTTCCATGCAAACGCGTCCTTCTTTGGTTATAAGAATTCTAAAACTTGTTAACTAAGGTCTTTAATCAACTCTACTCCTATTCGTACTTTCTGATCTGGCTGATTTGGATTCAGCTGGACCTCTATTGCTTCTTGTTTTTATGCTATGCTGATCTTTTCTTAGCCCAACTGAATCTCTTATTGCTATGCTGATTCTTTTTCTGTAGATGTTGCTTTCAATGTTATTTTGTAGCATTCCTTGGCTTCCTTTAGATCTCCCTTGATTTCTTGGATTCCCCATTTGGTGGGAAACTAGATGATCTAATGTTACGTAGATGGTATCTAAGGTCTGCCTAGAATCATGTTGTAAGATGACAGAGTATTGATCATTAGGAACTTTACTTGCAGATTGATCCCTTTTGCGTAGGTGGGCAATGTAATTTCTCGAATTATTTTCTTAGTTTCTCAAATGAACCCGGCCAGCATTGTTGACTTATTGATGATGTCTTTCTTGTCAATTTTCATATGTTTCACTGTATCGAGCATAATGATGTTTGCTGAACTCCATTGTCAACCAGGATCCTCTTAATCAAGCAATTTCCAACTAGGAGCGATATTACCAGGCTATCATGGTGCTCTTCTATGGTATCACTTTCTCCCAAATATGATTGGAATATCCATATTTGCTTGTGCCCTCTTTGCTGGTATGTTCATGTTGCTTTTTTTAGCATGGCGCTTCGCTGTTGAGTACGTCAGGCCGCATACTTCTAATCCTCCGGATATGAAACAAATGGTCTTGACAATTGGAGGAGGAGGTGGAGGGCCACCTTGATTGGACTCACATTCTCTGCCTGGGCTTTGGACTTGTCCATCATGAGTTCCTTGAGATATCCCTTCGTCAGCAGGTAGGCAACCTCCTTTTTTGAGCGCTACACATTCCTCAGTAGTGTGACCGATATCTGAATGGAAGTCCCACCACCTTGACGGATCTTTCTTCTCTCCTGGCCTATCACTCTTTCTGGGCCATTATACAGTATCTCCATTTTGTTCAAGGTCCTAATCACACCTAAAGGGTTAACATTGAAACAATATTCATGCAATTTAGGGGGGAGTTCAGGATCTTCCCTCCAATCTGTGAATTCTCCGTCGACAACTTTGACTGTTCCTTCTTTAAAGCGGGATCGCTGATAAGGTTTGAACCTATGATCCCTTCTAGGAAAGTTGTTGTTCCTTCTTGTTGAACGTTCTGGCTCATAGTCTTCCTTGCGTAGACATCTTCTTCAAACCTGACTTGAGCCACTGCTATTTGCTTCGGCTTGGACATCTTCAAAGGTTGTGCAGGGATACTTGGTCAGTTCCTTATAGAGCTCGCTATGGTCAAGCAGTCCTCTTCTAAATGCTTTGATAGTTATGGGAGCGTCTCATTTATGTATCCCAATCTTCTCTCTATTGAACCTGTTAAGATAATCCCTCAAGGACTCTCCATACCTTTGCACAACTCTATATAAATCTGGAGATTGCTTCTCGATCTTCCTACTGCTAGCGAATTGGGTCTTAAATAGGTTGACCATTCCTGCAAAAGATCGAATAGTCCTATTATCTAAACTAATGAACCAAGTTAGAGTTGGACCTGACAAGGTGGCTCCAAAGCCTTTGCACATAATTGCCTCCCTAATATCTCTAGGGATTGAGCTAGTTATCATCTTCAGCTTGTAGAGAGACACGTGCTCATCAGGGTTTGTTGTTCCGTCGTACATGGAATACTGGGCGTACTGAACCTCTTCGGCACTTCCACCATGGCAATCTCTTCTGAGAAGGGTGACTCTATATAGCCATCTGCAACTTCTTCCTCCATGGGCTTCGGCACTATGGGGATTTTTGCAATCTTGGCCTCGAACGCCTTGAGGTATTCCTTGACCAACTTTTCTATCTTTCCCTCCTCAGTTCCCACTTGCTTGCTTTTCTGGAAAGTACCTGCATCAATAAAACCTTCATCTAGGGTTGTGTCCCTGTTGTTAGAACCTTTTTCCCCGTTAGTAGGGGTATGGAAAGCTCCTGACATATCGAGCTGCATGGCTATGATTTTGATATTCTTTCTAGAGTTTACTGTATTTGGTTGCGTAGGGCTTCATTTTGTTTGGTCAGGCTAGTGAGTTTGGCTTTAGTTTAGACCTTTTGGGCCAACAGGATTTCGATTAGGCTTTTCTGATGGTCCAAGGTTTGTTGGAATGCGTTCATTCCCTGTTAGTAGGGGTATGGAAAGCTCTTGACATATCGAGCTGCATGGCTATGCTTTCGGTATTCTTTCTAGAGTTGATTGTTTTGGATGCAACTGACTGTATTTGGTTGCGGAGGGCTTCATTTTGTTTGGTCAGGCTAATGAGTTTGGCTTCAGTTTGGACCTTTTGGGCCAACAGGTTTCAATTGGCTTTTCTTCTAGTTCAAGGTTTGGCGGAATGCGTTCGTTCCTTCATTGATTTTGGCTATGGTGAAGGGTAATGGTGGTCCAGTCATGGTTAGATGATTTTCTTGGTTTTTTGGAGAGTTTTTGGCAGGTTAATTGATTATAAGCCCCACGGTGGGCACCAAATTGTTTAGGCAAATCTTAGTAGGGTAGGTCTAGGAATTTGCTTAAGGTTTTAGGGGTAATAACAATCAATCCTGCAATATCAATCACAATATCCAAGAGCAATGATATAATAAAGAACGAGTGAATTAACTAAAGGAATAAGAGTTAGAAAGGCAATACTGAGTAAGGATAGACTCCTTGATCATAATAGACACAGAATTCATAAGTAACTTGCATATATTTTTGAGTATTAATGTATGAATGCGAGTATGAGGCTATTACATATGTTCTCCACTATTTATACCTAGGGAATGCTAGGGTTTACAAGTATTTTTGGCATACATTCAAAATAGAAAGATCTTTTTTATTTATTCTTCTTTCCTTGCATGCCTTGTGTATTTTTGGTATGCCTTCCCAGTTGATTAATTAATTGATATTCTTGCCATACTTGTGCCAATCACGCCGTTTTAAATTGATCTCCTTTTGTTTGGCCTGTTTTTGGATCTTCTGAAGTGCCCTATGTCTTTTGGGCTCTTTGGGAGTACGGGCCCAACACTAGGGCGTTGGTATTCATCTGTTTTCTTGTTGTATTAAGGAGTGGGAAACCAAACTTGCATTATAGTCATTTCAAGCTCAGTATGGAAATTGTTATTGAAGTAATAATTGGATCATTATGTCTTATCATATTCATGGGGCACGTCTTCTGAATGTTGACAACTTGACATGCCTTTATGTCCTAGACCGAAGTTCAATTCATTCTAAATTAACACATAATGCTTCCGAAAGTTGCACCAATAAAATGCCTTAGAAAGAACTTATCGAAAATAGCTCAGAACATCTACAATTTTGTAACATGCACAAAAGATTAATGAAGAAACACCAAAGAGCATACAAAAAA